CGGGATTTTGTTGCAGAGGTTGTTAAAGTCATGGATGAAGTTGTCCAACACAACTTCAATGAGAGGTTCTGCGGGTAAGGCCCCTAACAGCAGCACAACGTGTCACTACACACTCATGAAGCACTGACTTGCTTGCAGGCCACAATCAAGGCATCGAACCTGCCTCTGTCCATCAAGGCACCACTGTACATCGGCTTCTGCACAGAGTAAGTGGAAGGATGCCATCGAGTTTGTGTACTGCCACACAAACTGTAAGTGTGGCATTTATTGCAGCTGCAGTTGCATGCTTGGAAACCCCACATGACTCCTTGTATGATTGGTCAGGTTCGCACGCTGGATAGGTGGTGATTACTGAATCCTCCATCTCTTCAGATGACTGGGAGAATGGATGAGGAAGGGCCCCCCGAGCATCCCTCCAGCTGCTAAACTATTATCCCAACAGACTATATGAATTCTGCTCATATGCTGCATTTGCAGGGATCCTGCCAGACCCCTGCCACGGCCCCAGCCGTCATGATGGGTGCGATGAACAGTGGTGCCACCAAAGCAGCAGCAGGTACACGGGGTATGGGTTATGACATGATGTATTATGACATGTCATTGTGGATGTATCCATGGCACATGTCATGCAGTTGCTTGTAGGTTCCTGAACATTGCAGGGCACGAGTATCATGCATTTTGGGCCGTACATATGCTCACATCTTGATGTTCTGCTAGCAGGTCTCAGCTCAGATGGCCATGGCTGCACCGGAGGCGGCTGTGATTGCTGGCAAAACAATTATGGGGCCAGCTGGTTGTGAGCCAGAGGGTGACTACCTGGAGGACCTGATTGGCGAGAGACTTGACGATGTCATCGCAGAGTATGGGGACACCATGGCGACGGGTGGCACTGGTGGTGGTGCATATGGGATGCCTGACCATGAAACTACGTGGTGCACTGCCATCACTGCTCACCAGATGCGGGCTGAGCTTGCTGCAGTGAAAGAAGCAGCCAAGCTGGGCAAAGGTGGCCAGCAGGGGCCAGCAAGGAAGAGACTGCTGGGGAAGTGCAAGGCGGTGGGTTAGCAGGCATGCAGCGGGATGCTGGAGTTGACAATCTTTGTGGCCTGTAATAGATGGCTTGGTGGCATATAGAGAAATGTATGAGGTCAGGCATTACTACTAATGCACACACTTAAGTCCCTGGAGGTTTACGGATTGAGACCTGCAAGGAGTGAAGTTCATAGTTATGATATTGATAGTGGAAGGCAGTTGTGGTTCAGGAATGTAGTTGAGCTGCAGGTAATCCGGCTTACTTTATAGGATGCTGCTAGCAGCGCTGGTGGGTGATTTACCTGAGTGGTCCACTGAAACATTGAGGTTTGTCACCTTAACAGTGTGGAGTTTTGGAGTACATACATTTATTTGTGATAGCAGACTTGGAGTCTGGAGCCCACATATTGATGGGTTGCTGGTCAAGACTTATATGCCCACAGTGAACAACTTCTGGGATGTGTGCAAAACATGTGCCAATGTGGTCATGGAGTGCAGTGTATGACTCATGTAAACAATGTAAAACATGTGCCAATGTGGTCATGGAATGCAGTGTACGACTCATGGAATGTGTGCAAAACATGGGCCCGGGTAGTCATGGAGTGCAGTGTACGACTCATGGAATGAGTGCAAAACATGGGCCAGGGTGGTCATGGCCTGCATTGTTCCATCATGGAATACCATGCGCAATATGACCTGGTCATGTTCTGCATATTCATGAGCAGGTACATGACCACCTTTATGACCTCATGGGGTCATAAAGTGCAGCCATGACTGAATACGGTCATATTGCGGTCCCATGACCTGTCATAAATCCCATCATAAATCCCATCATGACCACGCATTTCATGACCCCAACCAGTCATATCCTGCACTTGCTTATGCAAACTATGAACTGATCCATGACCGGATCCATGACTTAATGACAAATTATGACCGGATCCATGACCACATACATGACCAAATCCATGACTTAATGGCAAATTATGACCGGATCCATGACCGCATCCATGACCAAATCCATGACTGGAAAACCCATCCATGACCAAGTCTTTCCCCGAGTCTTTCGCCGGCGAGGGCCGTGGTACGATGGCGAGTCAGTACGTACATAGTCAGTACGATGGCGAAGGCAGCACCTTTGGCTGCGAAGTCCGCTAAGTCTGCTAGCACCGCTTTGGGCGCGTGCCCTTTAATGGGACGGACCAAGATGGCTGCAGGTAGGTAGTGGAGGCGCCAGTACGGGCCGCGGCCGTCGTCGGGCGGTTCACGGCTGTCGGTAAGCAGGCCACACGCCTCGACTTCATTGTTGTGGCACGCGCCAGCGTCGGCAGCAGTGGTGTCGAGTAGGGTGTAGCGTGCACCCTCGTAGTACCAAGTGTCGGCGGTGGTGTGGTCGAAGGTGGCGTCTTTTACTCGCATTGCGACAGCCTTTTCGACGTGGGAGAGCGGCTGTTGTTGGGTTGCGCCATGTTGCCTAACCGGGACGTGGTCCGCGTTCCAGCTGACCAAACGCGCTCCTTTGCGGCGCGCCTGGAGCATCAGGAGGCGTGTGTTGAGCGCGTGCCTGGGTTCGTTCCGTTGCAGCACGACACGGGGTTCGAGGTCTGTGAGATCGGACAAATCTGTGATGACGCGTTGGTTGAGTGCGTCTACTAGATCTGCAACACGTGCTTCAGTGGGTTGAATGCCGCCGAACATGGTTGTGAAGCGGGTAAGCTGCTGGCCAGATGGGCTGTTGTCTTGCCGCTGCTGTTTCTGCAGCATGAATACGGTGCCGCCGAGCTGACGGTACAGGTTGAAGCCGTCGTGTAGGCGGGTGTGCGTTTGTGGCACGGGGCGACGAGTGTGACGTGTGGAGGTGGTGGCGTGACGGTTGCCGGTGTCGTCATCGGCATCACTGCCGTCATTGTTGCTGCCGTCAGCATGGTCACCTCCACGTTCGTCAACCGAGGCCGGCCAGCACTGTGCTGACGGTGCCGAGGGACTGAACTGGGGGTTTTGTTCGACGTTGGCGGCGTAGCGGTATGGCGGCGACCCGCCTGGCTGAGGATGCTGCAGCAGGTCGCCGATTCCGCCAGCAACGCGACCGGACAAGACACGGCTGCTGGGATGGGCGGGTCCAAGGTGTGGTGGAGGCGGCACATTGGCTGTACAGGAGTGGCTGATGGCGCCGAGGTGCTCGTGGCTTTGCATGCCAATTTCGTCGATGAGGACGGCCCCATCACCAACGTTGCGCTTGACCTGAAGGCCGGCGTGGGCGCCGCGCTTGGGAAGGTTGGCGCCACGGGAGCCGCTTTGACTGGCTGAGATGCCGAACATGGAGTGGGTCGATAGGCTGCGGTGTACTGGGGTGTTGAAGGCGATCGCGGCAGCCCAGGAGTATGCACATGTGGCGGCCCAGTCGGGACTGTCATGCTGATACGTGTACCACAGTAGAGCGTGTACGAACTGAGTCTTGCCCGTGCCCGGAGGACCCATGATGAGCATCTGCGGCGGGACGCCTGGATCAGGTTCGTTGCGGCGGTCGAAATAACGTGCCATGAGCATGAATGGTACGGCCTGATCCGGCGCCAGGGTAAAGAGCTCGATGGTGTCGTCGATGCTCGGTGGCTGTGGTAGACGTAGGTAAGTTGGCATTCCCGCTGTGATATGGTTGGTTTGCTGGGTGTCGGTCACGATGACCGCTACGAGGGGGTAGCCGGGGTGGCGATCCAAACGAAGATGGGGGGTGTGGTCCGTCGTGGTCGGCATGGTGGCGGTGCCTTCGGAGATGACTAGGTAGCGCTTCAGGCGCTTGGAAGCCTCGCTCAGCAGCGGGATGTCAGTGGTGCGTACACGGCGGATGAAGGGGTTGGTGTTGGCACCGAGGGCATTGGGAAGAGGAAGTACACGGCAACGCCGAGCTGCACCGTATGCGTACAGGCCCTCCACTGTGGTGCGGTCATACAGGTCCGTCAGGGCGACATCGGACAGGTTGATTCCTAGCGTCGGGTCGCCTTGGCCTGGTACAAAGTCGTACCGTTCGACCTGATCATCTTGCGGCGGCTGTGTGGCGGGGTCGGGTTCGAGGCGGCCTCGTGCAGCTTCCGGGTCGTCATCATCCGGGTCGCTGGAACTGTTGTCCGGGGCCAGACCGGCAGTTGCAGCAGTGGCGCGGCGCTGGCGGCGTCGCAAGTTGTAGTCGGCCTGGCGCCGGGCGCTGGCGAGGTGCTCTGCTTCGATGTTGTCTAGCAGGACACTTACACAGGCTCTGTACAATCGGCCTGCCTCGGTGGATCCCAGGTCCATCCACCATGCATCATACGCCTCTTTCACCGTCTGATCGGCAGCCACCGGTTGGCCGCGATGAGCCTTGAAGATGCCTAAGACAAATGCATAGTAGGCGACGGCGGCTGCGGTGGTGCTGCCTTCTTGCGGGCGGCGGGGCAGCGCACCGCCCAGCAGAACGTACCTCGGCTGCGCCAGGCGATGAAGAACGTGTGTCAGATACAGCGGGTGCGTTGGTTGGAAGGCCACATTCTTGGGAGGTATGGTCGACATCGGGCTCGTGGGCAGCTGTTCTGCAGATGGGCCAGCTGGCGCAGGGGACGCCATAGCGGCGGTGGGCTGGGTGCCAGATGGGGTGGGAGGTGCGTCAGTAGTAGGGGTCATAGCGGCGCCAGGGGCTTTGCGCTTGCGGCGGCCAGGTACAGGGAGGACTTGGGCACTGAGGATGGCAGCATGGGGGTGCTGCGCGGGCGTTATACGTTTCACCTCGAAGTTGGATGCGATGCTGTAGGCGCTGCAGTCCAAGCCGCTCAGCTCCACTCCACGCTGCGTGTAGTTCTGTACGACGCTGGTGAGGGTGTAGTCGCCATGCTCGTCCGCCTCTACAAGCTCCACACCGGTTTCCGCGTCTTCTGGTTCTACGGCGGATTCGGACGCCAGTGCAGTGAAGGCACCTATCGGTAGGTAGTTGCGTTTGTAGGTTGCTTGGAACGTATCGTGGCCTGACAGTTTGAAGGCGACCAGTGCCATGCCAGCCGTGATAGTGGCCGTCATGCGGTGCACCACGGTACACAGGTTGCCGAACGTGCTGGGTCCATCACCGGTGGCGCTGGGTCGGTGACCTGCCATCATGAAGTCCTGTACACGGCCCACGGCGGCACATGTGAGGTGCGCCTGGCTGCGTTCAATCGTCTTTGCAGTGTACTTAGAGCTGTAGTACGCGGCGTCACGGGCGCGGTCAATGGCGGGCTGTAGGAGGGAGCAGTCACCGTGTTCGTTGGGAGGATGCGCTAGTTGGGCAGCGATGTCAGCTGTGTACTCCCGGTCGACTTCGCAGGCCAGGGACATCAAATGATTGCAGCCGAAGGCGAGGGCAATGGCAGGCATGTGTGGCACGAGGTTGGGTGCCAGGCGGGGCAGCAAGAATAGGCCGGTGGTACCGATCCATTGAAAGGCTGTGCGGATGAGTCATGCCATGCCGCTTGCACGTCAGCCATGCCAGCCAGCCGTCAGCCATGCCAGCCAGCCAGCCATGCCGTCAGCCATGCCGCTTGCACGTCGAACTGTGGCTGTGGGTGAGGGTACTGCGTATGACGGCAGCGTGATGGGCACGGCAGGCGGTATGTCGCGATGGAGGCGGCAGTCCGCCGTTTGCACACCCCGCCAGTCGTTCGAAGTTGTATGCTGCAGGTGGGCAGTCCGCCTGCACTGCTGGCACGGGTAGACCGTGCTGCTGCGCTTCCGCATCAGACATACCCATGACCAGAGGCTGTGTCCCACTGTCCGGTGTCGGAGCATAGTATGGGGAGGGGTACCACATTTCGCACAGCGCGTATGCAAGCGCCAGAGCTCGGCAGTTGGGTCCACAGAATAACGCCTGAAGGTTGTCCAGTGCGAAGCACTCGAGGTGTGCGACTCCATGCAAGTGTAGCGCCAATCGCCCGCTCTGTTCAACCTTGACGACTACCTCGAATACGACCCCACAGAAGCAGTTAGGGTCAGTCTGCCGCATTGCTCCAGGTGCAAAGCCAAACAACTGCTCCACCAACACCTCTTTTGTGGCGATGAGCAGTGCCGCGCAGCTGTGCGGGTCTTCTTTGACGCGGCGCCACTTGTCCACCGTGCTGCTGATCTGGGTCGGACGACCGGCGTCGTCGAACTCTATAAGCTGACCAGAGGCTACAACAGCGCAGCCAGCATGCATGTCCGCCGGGTTGAGATTGAAGAACAATGGTGGCCAGCCGATGGTAAGGGCAGCCGCACGCATCATGGCCTTTGCACCATTATAGTAGGTATCTGTAAGGTCGATTCGCAGGAGGCTGGCACGTGCGCCATCCAGGAGGGCACGCACCACGGGCGACTGCTGCGACAGCAGCTGCCGTCGCTGGGCGTGACGGTATGGCAGCGCCAAGATGTCCGCCATGGTGCGTACCACATCCCTCGGTACCCGTGCCGCTGGTCCACCCAGTCGTGGTCGCATGCGCAGGGCCACTCCTACCTGCGCCATGCTTTGTTGCCGCACGCTGATATCATACATTCGGGCAAGCAGCATTAAGTTGCTGCTGAACTGTGACCGTGGCACCCACCGTACAAGGTGGCTGCAATATGAGGCGAACGACATACCCGGTGGCCGCTGTCCGGACAAACCATATGGAAACGAGACCGGGAAGCAGACGTTAAGGATGGCTGGGTGGCGGTCATCCAGGACCTGAGCGCCACGGCCGCCAGCAGCGAATGCGAGACGTGCACGCCCGGTGAGCAGGTCATGCACCACATTGGGCCGGTTATCAAAGTCGCTGCCGTCCGTCGGAACAGGAGCTGGTTGCGGAAGGACCACCTCCAGTTCATTCGGAACGCCCAGATGGGCATCAGCTGCGTTGGGTGGAGGGGGTGGATATTCATAAGGTTAACATGCCAGACGGGCAAATGGTGCAGCACTGGAATGATACTCGTGACGTATGCACAGGACGTGCCAAAGTCAGTCGATGAATATAGTAGGACAAACAGAACAAATAGGACTAATAGGATAATTTGCAGATTGTCACTTACCCCGGAGAGGACCAGGATCAGCTGGTTGGCGCACGACGACCGCGACAGGCGCTAAGCCCGTAGCACCAGCATCTATAGTGGAAAATAGGCACGGTTGTGCATACACCGCAGATGAGGAGGTGGTAAGAAACATAATAGTTAATGGTCCGGAATCCGACAGGTGGACGAACATGCCCGGACGACACATACAGCAGCAGTCGTAGCATGTGCAAACTTGCAGGTACATACAGGCCGTACAATACGACAGCGTAATAGGTGCGGAGAAACAGTCGTGCACGTACCAGCCCACCAGGTTGGACAGCTCGTACCGTATCCATCACATACATACCTGCCATACGAGTGTCAGAGGCAGTTGTTCCGGCCGTGGGCCCGTCAGGACCTATAACAGATGTAGGAGCACAGAAATAGCAATGTTGGAAGGATGTGCGTGAAGCAGGTGGAAATAATTCCGTCAGCTGGAAAGGAACGCATGTAGGCTTGCAGCCCCCTTAGCTGCAATCGACACAGCATAATACAGTTTTGCATCCGTCTGTGAACCCCGTTGATTTACCCCGTGAAAAGTCGCACCTGTATCAAGCGGTGATCCATAAGCGCCACCACCCTGAATGATCTCACCAGCAACGTTTCCTTGCAACGTCTCCTGCAGCTGTCGTACACCAGCAGCGCCGGTACGGTCGTGCAGGAACGTACTCCGCAGTACACCAGCGACTTCTGGATCTGTAGGACCGATTGCGGAGTGCAGCAGTGCCTCTGGTACTCGCGCAACACATCCCATACGCTCATACTCCTGTAGAGCTTCTTCGTCCACCGCACCTTCATCCTCGTCATTATGCTGAAGGAAACGCACCCAGGCGACGATGACGTTGCCTCGAACTTTCAGGCCTGGTGCACGGCGGACGCGATCCAGCAAGTCCTGTCGGTCTCGGACTTGATCCACGCACACCACCGTGAAGGCGCCTGCCAAATCCGCAACACGTGCGGGCAGCTGGCCTCGTAGCATATTGGGGTCGGGGTTTACGACTGCAATGCCATGTGACTGAACGGCACACGGCAACACCTCGGGGGGGCGGCCCGCGAGATGCACAATCATTAGCTGCTGCATGAGACGGCCCCGGCCCAACAGCTGACTCTCCACAAACGTGGGTGCAGGCAACGGGTCGCCCAGGTGATTTGTAGACGGCACGTCGCCTGGATCGATTCGCGCCAGAGCCGCTTCAGGCACTCGGCGTGCTGCAATGAGAGTGGCGACAGGTGGGCAGCGGTTAGGCAGGGTTTAATGACAACGTGTATGACCCAGATGGGGCATCTCGCCCATACAAATCAGGCAGCCCGACGGATCAAAGGTGCACAACAGCATGAGCAAACGGAAAAAGGACAGCACATGTAGACGGGCCAAAGAAGTTGCTCACCCGTCAGTGCCTTCTCGCAAGAGGTGCAGATAGTGAATCGGTCAGGGCCAGCATCGTCACGGAACATGGTCCGGTTTGGCAAGTCCGCATCAAGGCGCATGCAGAATGGCACCTCCACACTCCGTGGATCCTCGAGGCAAGGTCGTGGCTGCACCCGTGGTGGGTATGGCTGCAATTCCGGTGGCACCTGCACCGGGGCTGTGTCCACTGCAGTACCTGCCGGTGAATCCGGCTCATTAGCCCCATGACCTGCACCATCACTGTCAACCGCCAACGCATCTTCATCCACGAATGCCGCTGGATCGGCGTCAGCGCCGGCGCCACCACTACTGCCACGCTCGGATCTGCTGATACGATACCGAGCTGGCAAAACCGGATCTGGCGGTGGCGGTGCAGCACCTTGGGCAGTGCAGGGCATGCGCCGCCAAGCCAGGGTACGTGCATGACGCGGCACGGCAGCAGTGCACATGATGTCGGCACGTAAAATGTCCACATTGGGAATGTCCACCCAGGCACGAAGTGCTGACTGGTCTTCCGAACACTGTTCAGAGCAGATGGCACACACCCGTGAAGGCATGCGCCGACGCAACGCGGCTGCCATGCTGCTTGCAAGATGCAGGTGTTTTTCGTATGGTACCTGCCGCTCCACCGGGAGTTCACCGTGGGGCAAATCCTGCACGCACCCTTCCGGAATGGCCTCCAGAAAATCAGGCAGTGCAGGGCGGTGGCCCTCGTGCAAGCAGGGAAACCGCATGAGGTCCCGCAAACGCTCAAGCAAGCTGGCCTGCGGAAGCTGTATTGCATGCACCTGATCACGGGCCTGTGCGTGTGCAGCGGTGTTACGCTGCTGTTCTGCAGCCCTGCACTCCGGATTTCGGCGGCGCAGTTGCTCCGCAGCCCTGTAAGCCGGGTCTTGATGGGCAGCAGCTCGTGCAGCTGTGTCCCGCTGCTGCTCCGCAGCCCTGTACTGCGGGTTTTGACGGGCAGCAGCTCGTGCAGCCGTGTCCCGCTGCTGCTCTGCAGCCCTGCCCGGATCCAGACGAACATCCCGCAACTGTGCTGCATCCACAGTGAGGTGCGTGTTCGACGCAAGTATCCCTCTAAAATGCAGGCCACCAGCCAGTGTGCCCAGGCGCTCACGACTGCAAGCCCCAGTTTGGTGGGGTGGATCATTTGGTCGGTCAGCCATAACTGACAAAAGCCGTCTTCAGTCGTAATACAGTCCTACAGTACCGAACTGACGCCTGTAAACAGCCCAGCTTCACGAAACGGCGTGCAGCATATAATCCTACAGTACCGAACTGACGCCTGTAAACAGCCCAGCTTCGCGAAAAGGTGTGCAGCTTACGGTGACGGTGCCATCGACTAGTTTACAGCCGCCGGCTTTTGTGTGACTCAGTGCTCAGCCGCAGTACCATACGTGAAGAGAAACAAAGCAATTGCATATGTCTGCGTTGCTGTCATACTGTAGCGAGCTGACGCCCGTGAACAAGACAGATTCACAAAAGGCCGTACAACCTACGGGGACAACATTGGACAACAACAGATGCGCAGTTCGGCGCGCTCGTCATCCATCGCTGAATTGCGCGTCGGTTTGCGCGTTAAATAAACGCATTTAATTGTGCATTGAACTGCATGCTGAACTGCGCACTTCAGTGCGTGTTGAATTGCACAGTTCGGTGCATGTTGAATCGCGCGTTGAATTGCATGTTGAAGATTTCGTGCGTGTTGCACTGTGCACGGTCGGTGCACGGTCCAGAACGAAAAGAAAATAACAATAAACGACGACGACGCGAAAAACGAACCACGCGACGACGAAGGCAGCGCTCCCGAACGAAAAATAGAAGAAAGAAACGTGCGGGCGCCGGGCGACGAAGCTAGCGATCCGTAACGTAAAAAAGGACAAAAAGACGCGCCGGTGCCTGCCTTCACACCCTCTGCACCCAACTCACAACGCGTGCATCAGGGAGAGTCCACGTCAGAAGACGAGCACACAATCGCATCTGACTCCTCAACTGACAACAGTGCAGCACCATCCACCAGGCGTCGACGTCCAGTTCCACAGACACGTGACCATATCCACAACGGGTTCATCCTCTACCGCAACCTCGCCCAAGACGTCTTCTTACTCACCCGTCAGCAGCGCCAGAACAACACTCCAGGGGGCATCTACCTCGCCGAGGCCTCCACCATGTTTGCAGGTGGCCCGGTCACCCGCGAGCGCATTGAGGAGCTTGTCGACAAGCTGAATGCACACGCCATCTCTAGCTTGGCGGCCCTGACACCCCTCAAGCCCCGTGTCGTTGTCCAACGAAACGAACCGAGGCACGCGCTAAACACACGCCTCATGATGCTGCAAGCGCAGCACCTGAGCAAACGCTTGGTGGTTTGGAATGCGGACCACATACCACACCAACCCCGTGGCACAGCCCCACAGGCTCCGCTCACCCGTGTAGAGCAGGCTGTTGCCATGCGTGTCAAGGACGCCGAGTTCGATCACACCACGGCGGACACATGGTACTATGAAGGCGCCCCTTACATCCTGCTGGATACCGCCTGCGCTGAAGCCGGCGCGTTCCACAACAATGAGGTTGAAGCCTGTGGCCTTCTAACGGACGAGCAAGAACCACCAGATGATGGCACCGGACCGTACCGGCGGCTACAGTACCTCCCTGCCGCCATCCTTGTACACCCGATCCACGGTCACAAACCCACCACGATCCTGCAGGGCTCGCACGACCTCGCCAGCCACGGTGCTACTTTTGCGCTCCGACCCCGTGCCAGCAAGGAGCCTGCGACCGTCCTGATGCCCGCCACCAACACCGGCACCGCACCCAAAGCCATCAAACGCATCAACTTCGGCCTCGGTGACTGGTTCGTTGTCACGGACCACTGGGTACAGGGCCGAACATTCCGCGAGTGCTGGGTCGTCGACCTCAGTGTACCACCGAAAGGGATCAAGCGTGCCACTCTCTTCGTCCTCCTCACCCGCTTCAAATCCCTCGATGACATTCACCTCCTGCGCCCACTCTACACCACCCCGACCGAACGCCGCAGCGTGGTCACCGCCTTCCAGCGCGCCACCAGGCTGACCGATGACCTAGCCGCTGAACTGCGTTTGCTGGACGCCACAGCAGCCGACACACGCCGACGCTACCGGAACGAATTCCGGTGGGCGGAACAGCTGGAGATGCGCCGTGCACCCGACACCGCCACCTAATGGCCAACCTGCATCACCTCCCTCACGCCACCCCGTATCACCTCCCTCAATACCGCCTTCCCGCGGCGCAAAACCGGGCGTGCTGCCTCAGCACGACAAACCGTCCCTAGGGGTGTCCAGCACTTGCTGGACAGCAGGTTCGAATCCTGCGATGGTTTTCATGT